ATGACACATTGAGCCAAAATTTCATCGTCCCCGTGCTTCTTATGAGCAGCATGGTCAAACGTAGCATACTCAGAAGAAGTCTGTTCAGGCACAACGGGTATCGCTGTGTCCAACACATACTCAATCCGTTCTTGCCTTAATACCAAACGCAAATTGCGCAGCCAGTCAGGAAAATTCGGTCCAGTCAACTTGTTCGTTTCCATCAAACATTTCAATGATAAGTTCGACATCTTATTCAACCTAGAGAAATATATAGAACAGGAATTAAAACATGATCACATTCGTTAACTAAATTAACATGGCTTTTAATTAATTTAGCTCCCACTATTTTTACATACTCTACGACCCCTTCAGAAGAGTACGGACTCATATCAAATATAGTCATAGTGAGCCAAGATCCACATCCATCCCATTATAGTCCCAGCTAGGGCTGATCACTATAATGTATGTAGTGGTAGGTCTCTAAACCAATTGTAAACAATTACAACTCTTGGTTGGTCAAATCTAATTTGATCGACGTCCTTAGATCATTCCGACGCTAGGGCGACAAGAATTAACTAAGTAAGTCAAAACCATCACACGATCACAAACATATGTATCTATGAATGAGTCTGAGCCTCGTAGCCCTAAGCAAACACTAGGGTGTAAATACTTTTGGACGAAAAGGTTTTTGCACTCATTCAATTGTGATGGGTGACGTCATGCATCCAAGATGAGACTTATATTTTATTAGGGGAACATTTTAACGGGGTATTAAATATCAAATATTCAAACAAGATCCAACTAATAACACATATCGGGCGCCGCCTACCCGAGCATAATATAACACGGTCCGACAAATACTGGGCGCCGCCTACCCAGACAATATATCACGCGGTCCGACAAATACTGGGCGCCGCCTACCCAGACAATATAATCGCGGACGCTAACTAAATAAATAAACTATTTAATTTATTACAGTTAGACAAATAAGAGCAAATAATCCAATTATCATGCATTTATAATATTCCAAACACATAAATATGTATTCAAAATACATATGTCAAGCAAATTCATGGATCAAGATATAGTGCTAAAGTATTCATCAAAATTTCTAAAATTTTTGATTTGCTAAACAAGCTCGAAGCTTCGTTTTGTTCGTTCATTAAATATTTCAAAAATATTTAATAGTCATTTGACAATAGTTTTTAGTTTGAAATATACCCCAAGGGTTAATTTCAATTTTAGGGATTTTTCAGAAATTGAAAACAAGCAGAATAACCATTTAT